CTTTTACGTGTATTATCTCATTTCATCCTCACAAAATTGTATGGAATAGGTATAACTTTTATACACATTTTATAAATGAGGAGTTTGTAAATGAGGAGATTTAGGAAGACTAAATGCCATAGCCGAAGTTTCACTTCTAGTAAACTGTGGGGGCAAAACTCAAATTCATGTCTATCTTTAGCCTGAGCTCTTAACCTCTGTATGGCAAGGCTTGGCAAACTATGGTCCCCTAAGTGTTTTTGTGCAGCCTGCAAGCTAAAATGGTTTATACATTTCCAAATGATTTTTAAAAAATCAAAAGAAGAATATTTCATGATATGTGAAAATTATATGGAGTTCAAATTTCTCTGTCTCTAAATAAAGTTTTATTGGAATGCAGCTACACTCATTTGTTTATGGAGTTTCTCTGCTTTCATGCTACCATGGCAGAGTAGAATTATTAGGACAGAAACTATGGCCCACAAAGCCTAAAATATTTCCTATTGGCCCTTTAGGGAACAAATTTGCTTGTATGCTCATCAGTAAAATGGAGGTAAGGAAAGAATTTGGTTAAATTTTTCTTCAGGTCCCTTTCAGTTTGAACGTTCTGAGAATTGCAGAGAAAGTTATTTACATCTTCTGCTTTCCTGTAAGATCTCCAGCTCCCTCTGCCTTCCTCTCTCTCACAGATGAATTTGCCTCTTTGCCAAAAATGACTGAGCACCACCCCTGCGTCCGGCCATATATCCATGCCCTGACCTCACTTCTCTGCATCTGTCCTTGCATTGTTTCGTCTATTCTCAGTAGTGACAAGATTACCATTTATTAGACGCCTGTGATGCTCAAGCACTCAATGGGACTGTGAAGAAGATTCAGAGATGGTGCATGTAAAGTCAGATTTATTATTTTCATTTTAGAGATGTGAGAATTGAAGTTTGGGGAGGTCAAATTGCTTCTCTAGGACACATCAGTTAGTAAGTTGTGGTCTGGAGGTTGAACCCCAGTCTTACTTATTCTGTAGCCATTACCAGCAGTCCCCTCGTATCCACAGTTTCAGTTACCCGTGGTCCGAAAATATTAAATGGAAAATTCCAGAAGTAATTCATAAATTTTCAATCGCCTGCCGTTCTGAGTAGCCTGATGAAATCTCGTGCTGTCCCGCTCCTTCCCTTTGTCTAGCGGATCCACACGGGATTTGTTACCCGCCCATTAGTCACCTGGTAGCCTTCTTGGTTATCAGACGGACTGTCCAGGTATCATAGCGCTTGTGTTCAAGTTGCCCTTATTTACTTACTAATGGCCCCAAGGTGCACGAGTAGTGATGCTGGCAATTCGGATATGCCAAAGAGAAGCTGTAAAGTGCTTCCTTTAAGTGAAAAGGTGAAAGTTCTTAATACAGAAAGAAAAAACTAGTATGCTGAAGTTGGTAAGAACGAGTCTTCTATCCGTGAAATTCTGAAGAAGGAAAAAGAAATTTATGCTAGTTTTGCTGTCACACCTCAAATATGTATGCATAGGAAAAAACATAGTATGTATAGGGTTTGGTACTACCTGCAGTTTCGGGCATCTGCTGCAGGTCTTAGAACACATCCCCTGTGGATAAGGGGGGACTACTGTACTTCTCTTGACTGATGTTATCTTTGACCTCTACCTAAAGTTATCTCCCCCACCCCACTCTGCACCCCATTCCTCTATGTATACCCTCTTCATTTCCCTCCTTTTTCTAATGATCTTTTCTTTTTTGTATTAAGCTTGCATCCTGAGAACAAAATTCTCTTGGACCGGCTCTTTTTTGTACCGTATCTGCCAACCCTACCCCAGTTCCCACTCCATATGACATTCCTCCCCTCTTGGGTGTGTTTAGGGCAATAAAGCATGAATTAAATCTGGTTCTGTCCCTTGCAGCTGTGTGACCTTGAATACTTATCTTCACTAAATCTGAGTGTCCACATCTGTAAAATGGGATAATGATAATAGCAACCTTAGAAGCTTGATTCGAAAATTAAATGGGATCATTTTCATGTTATACCTAAACCTGCCTGGCACCTAGTAGACACTAGGAATTGTAGCTTTTGGTCTTCTAACTATTACTATTAAACAGTATTTTCTATTCTATTGTTCAGTCCCAAGCACCAGAATTACCTGGTTTTCTAGGGTGTTTCGTTGTCTTTTTCCACCCAAACTGTCCAATTTATATTCAGCCTATTTTTCACTCCCTAACATGCATCCTCTCCTCTACTCAGCCTCTTATCTTTATTTCCTGTCAACATATCTTGCCTCTCCCATACTTGGTGCCTATTCTTAGAGTCTCCCCTTCTTCCCTCCGGATCCTGTGCATTTGTCAGACAAGTGCTAGAGTCTCCTGTGACTGCTTTCTTCTGTCTTGGTCTCTTCCTTTCTGAACTTTGAACTTGGAGCCGCAGAGCCATAGACTGTGGCAATGAAAGGCACCATGTTGGTCTTCCCACGTGGCCAGGTTCAGTGACTTCAGTAAGGCTATTCAATGTGTTCGTGGCAGCGTCAGACACTGCCTTCTCTATATCATCTAACTATTCTCTGAATCGTACACACTTTCTTGTGTTCCTCACCATTTAATCGACAAGAGTCTGAGTGCATATTCTATGATGGCCTCTGAGTTGAAGAAAGAGAGAGAGTAAGGACCAAGTTTATGCACTTGCACTTGAGAGTGAGTGCCCCTTTAGGGACCTTGCTTGCCTTAGCCTAATCCTACCCCTGGCAAGGGCCTTCACTTATCCTAGGAACTCACAGTTGGAGTGGGGTGGGCTGGGGGATGAGACTCTAAAAAAATGGCAATATAACCACAGTAGAGGTTCTAACAACACAGAGGAAGTAGTGATTAATTTAGGAGGTGTTAGGAAAGTTTCAAGATAAAAGTGAAATTGATCTGGGTTTTGCAGGCTAAATAAGAGTTCACCAACAAGGGAAAGATATTTTAGTCAGTGTGAAGAGGATAAAGAAAAGCAAAGGTGGCATGAACATGTGTGTCCTGTATGGTATGTAAGTTTGTGGTACAACTGGGGTGTGTGGGGGGTGCGTTGTCCTCAGGACATTGCAGGAAAGGAGATAATAGAGGGAGTGACCAAAATTCAGATTTTTTTTTTTACTAACAAGTCCATGCTTTTCTTCTAGTACCTCATTCTACTTCCATATTTAAAGGTCTGAAGAGACGTGGTCCTCAAACACTTTTAGGTAATCTTACCCTCTAGGTTTGTCTTTCTGTACCATTGAACTACAGTTTGGTTGTTTTCAGGCTTTTTTTTATCTTTTTCTTTTTTATCTCTGTGTTTGTTGTGTGATGTACATTGTGAGTGGAAGGGTTGATAGTGTCATGAGGTTTAGTGACACCTCATTTGGAAGTTTCTAGATGGAGCAGGGTGGTCTGCTGGTGTTGGCTGATTTCTTAGTCTTGAAAGGATGATTTCTGAATCAATGAGAGTTCATCGTCAAAAGGTACGGAAATTGATTCTTCCTGATCTTAGCAGGAAAGGAATCCATGGGAAGAATTTGGGGTAGCTCATAAAAGCTGCCAGGGGGCCAGAGAACTAGAATCAGAGACAACAGAGCTGGAACAAAACCCCAAATTACACCAACGAAGGGGACTGGCGCAGACACTGCGGCTACCACCAGTGGGTGCAGCTATGCAGCTTGTGTCACTGCAACTGGACATGGGGTGTGGTCGTCATCAGAACCGCTGCCAATAAAGCTTCTCCAAACTGGATGGAGCTGCCGCTACCGTTGTCAAGCGCCGAAATAGATCCTGTGCTGTCCCCACCTGTTTACATCACTAGGGACTGATTCCGAGTCTACAGTGGTTGTCCTGGGCCCATACTGTGGTGCAAGGGATGCTGGGAAAGTGAGTATCCAGCACTTTTAGCTTCTATAATGGGTGGCTGGCTCTGCCTCAGGAGGTGAAGGACTCTCCAAATGTAGAGGGGGACTCAGATGCCAAAAGCATGACAAATGTCCACTGCGAGCTCTAAGCTGGCCACTGTATGCATGCTACCAGCTTTCTTTAGCTGGAGACCTACGGGAAGCCCGGGGTGCATTTGTACCAGGAAGAGATTTTACCAGCTCTCTGAGATAGAGGAAGGAAACTTGACTCAGGGAAGTTAAGCAGTGGAGACAAAACTCGAGTCTTAGATTACTTACTGACCTCAAAAGCAAAAGGGCTGGCTCAGCCTTCGCTAGGTCTGTCTGTCAGTGAACTAATTCTAGTTCACTTACCAAAAGTGAAATTTTGAATGTGAACGACATTGCTTTGACTTATGAACGATTTTCAGAAATCGTAGATAAAATTATAGATAAAAGTTTGTTTTATCCTTATTGAAAACTTGATGTTTTAGAAGAGGTATTTTTCTTTTTTCACAGAAGGGAAAATTGTTGCATGTTTAAATGAAGTAGCCTGTTTAGGGGTTATATAACTACCAGGTGGTAGACCTGTGGCTAAGACCTGGTCTTTCCATTTCTCTTGCAGTGTTCTAGCCATACCGTGGGTGTTCCCCTATAGGAATTCCTTTTTATTTGGGTAGCAAATGAAATTGTCTGTAAATGCCTGAGTACTTTAAGAACTCTCAATGTATGCATGACAATTGGGTTGGTAGACATACACAGTAGCTTTATTTCTCATGGGTGATTATTTGAATGAGGGATATGTTGCATTTCTATCCTCTGGCTTGAAAAAGTAAACCTCATGAAGGTCTCTCTTCCTTATTTTGAGATATTTATACTATCTACTTCAGTTTCAAATGTATCAATCTTAGCTTTAGTTCATTAAAATATGTGCTGTGTCCCATTGCATAAGAAATCAAATAGGTGCACACACACCTAAGGAGTTAAGAGCTTAAGCAAGAAAAATATGTTGCTTATTTTTTACCCTGCAACAAAGGTATTTTGGGCATGTAGCATGTTGTCTTAGCAGCTGCTGCCTCCTTTACTGTTAGATTAGCTTTCATTGCTTTCATCTCTTCTGGTGATTAATGGAAACTGGGGTGGGGGGCGGGCAGATCTATCACTTTGCCTAAGAATATCAAGTTTATATAATTGAGCCAGTAATTGACAGTTTACTGTTAAGCGGCAGAGCTCCAGCATTCTCCTAGGGCATGAGAACACAGTACAAGGATACAGCTTGGATTTACGTTAGTCAACAAGTTTTTTGAGTGACGCACAGGAAGCTTAAACTCTACTAAGTGCTTAGAGATTGAATTGCTGGATTAAGAATCGTGTTACCGGGCTAAATCAGTAGTAGCAAGACTGGCTGAGCCGAGTTACTTTCTCTACTTCAGTTTCTTCCACCAATGTTTACAGGTATTTCCTATGTACCAGGTGGCTCATGTGTATTAGCTCTTGACGCCTTTATTGCTAACCTATTGGGTAGGTGGTCTCTCTCTTTTGCAGGTGAGGATACCAAAGCTTTGGGAGGCTGAGTAATTTTCTTTGAGGTCATGGAGCTAGTTAATAGCAGGGTGGGGATGCAAACTTAGATCAGGGGCGCTGCGGAAGCCCTCAGCCTAATTACCTCTTCTTATCCACTGCATTTCCAGCATCATTTTAGCACTCGGCACAGACGCTGAAATACACACTTTAATGCCTCTTCCACCCATTTACAATGGCTGTGTTTTGAGCTTATTGGGGAATGGGTGCTTGAAAACACAATTGCTAGACTTCACAATGATTTTTTTTAGAGATATTGCATTATGCAATTCTGTGAAGTAGTCATTGAATTGGATACTTTTAGTGGGTTCGATGACGTGGGTGATTTATGTAACTTCATATTTTATTATAATCTTTGTTTCCTACATACAAAGGAGTCATAGGTAAAGCTCAGTTTGGGAAATGGAATTTGATGGTTGCACAGAAGGCGGTTTAGTAAACAGATAGGGACTGGAAGACGGAAGAGATGAAGAAAGAAGAATTAGATCAATGCTTCCATTTGGGGCCAGTGGGGGCTTTCAGAAGGGTGAGCATTAGCTGACCAGAGGGGAGTCAGTTAATAAAGCCATACAGGAGTGAGCAGGAGGCCAGGATGCGAATCCCCAGCAGGGAGCCAGGCTAGGGAGACTTGCAAAAGAGACTGGGCTGAGGCCAGGGAAGTGCGGACCTGCCAGACTGTTGAGGTCAGTTGGCAGACAGGGCCCTATCGGCCTGAAATTGAGAGACTGCATCTGGAACACAGCAGAAAGAGGACCTCGTGACTCTTAGGGTAAGGATGAAGGGAAATAAATCAGCCTAGGACTGAAATGGGGAGACATCTTTGAATGCCTCTTCCATCAGTAAGCCATGACAAACTCACCTAAATATTGTTATGGCATATCTCTAATTTGTCTTGCTGTTTTGAATTTATATCCCCTACCAAAATATCAAGCAATGGCTTAATTATCTAGCCCTGTAGGGAAATAGTCTCAGAGCATTTTTTTTAAACTAAAGTTTAGTCCTTCAAGCACTGAGATCTAATTTAACCCTGTTTTTCATGAAACTCTAAAAGTCATTGTCTTTTCTTATTGTCACTTAAATGTAGGCTAACTTTTATTTAAGAAATATGGCCATCTTGCTGGTCTGGAGAGTACGGAGGGCCCATGGGAGGTTGCTAAGGTGCAAGGCCTCTCTGTTCCCAGCTGCCGGGTGCCTCGGGGGCCTCCCCATTGCTGTCCTGCTGCCTTTGCAGCAGAGTGTCGCCATCCTGGCCCCGCTCCAATTGCAGCCACTGCCGGCCAAGGCTCTTTCCATTCTGCATTGTATTTTTCTTCGGCTTTTTTCCTCCGCCACATCTCCACTCTCGGCCCTTGTGGTTTCCTTCTTTAGCCATACCCGGGGAAGGAGAGGGTCCTTCCTTCTGGGCAGGGATCGCACTGTTTGCAGGGCCTGTTGTCCTCTTGGTGCTTGGCCTCATCTTGGCTCTTTCCAGCATTGCTCAGAGCATTTGTTTTCATTGCTGGCGCTGGAGGTGCTGCTTTCCTTTCCTTTTTTGCCTCTCGTTGCTTCTGTCCTTGGGGTTCACGACTTTTCCACGTGGTGAAGTTGCTAAAAGAAAGGCTCCCTTGATCACTGAGGTCTTGCTAGGTGTTGCAGGGCTGGCAGAGTGGAGCTGTTGCAGGTGGCTGGCCGTGCGTGCTGTGCCAAGGTCTAGGGCAAAGGCCGGGCTCCCAGGTTACAGGCTTTGAAAGGGACATCATGAAACCTGTGATGACAGTGGTGAAAAGTTATAAAGGAGCTCATTTTCTTCTTCTCTTAGCGTGATTAAGAGCATGGATTTGGGAACCAGGCTGCCTTGGTTCAAATCCTGGCTCTTCTCCTTAGTAGCTGTGTAGCCTTAGGCGAATTGCTTAATATCTTTGTTTCTTAATCTGTAAAATGGGAATAATACTAGCACCTTGGACATAGGACTGATGTGAGGATTCTGTGTTATATATGTTACATATGTAAGATGCCATATATAATGTTATATATCAGAATATTGATGTCATAATTATATATTATGTGTATGTAATATTATATATAATATATATGTATATATAATATATAGTAATATATAATATAGTATGTATAGTATTATATTATATATAATATATATAATATACTATATAGTAATATATATAGTATATAGTAATATATATATTTATATATAGTATATAGCAATATATATAATATATAGTATATATAATATATAGTATAAACTATACATACATAGTTAATATATGCAAGCCTTTAGAAGAGAGCTGGTATACAGCAAGCAAGTGCTATATGAGAGTTTATTTTTATTCTTTGTTTTGTTTTTGTGGAGTTCTATGGGCGGAGGGAGTTCATTTTTGTTTTTGACTTAAAAACAAGGCTGGTTGATATTCCTCAGACTCCCCTGCGTGGTTGGTGGTCATTTCTATTCTGATTTTACAGACGCAGTATTTTCCAAGTACTAGACACTGAATGAGTATGTGTAGCTTGGTTTAAAGCTGCAGCACAGTAAGCACCTGGCTGACTTCAAGTCTGAGGCAGCAGTATGTGGAAAGGTTGGCCTCATGTTGCCTGGCCAGGAGGTAACTAGTCGGTGCACCTGCCCATCTCCTTGGGCCAGCAAATGTCCCTTTTGTTTTCAGTGCTTCTCCGCTCCTTTCTGAGACTCCTTGGTTTAGGACGAAGCCTTAGAGGTGATGCTCTGGCCCAGCCTTCATCCATGCTTTGCCTCTCTGCAACCTCCTAAAGCTGGGGGACCGGGGATCAAACCCATTGCTCCAATTTGGGGAAATAGAGCACTTTTTCCTTGAGAGGTTTTTAAGATCTGTATTTCATGACAAAGTTGAGCTAAGAAGTGAGGTCAGATTTTTAGTTTATTCAAAAACATTTTGTGAGCACCTTCTGTGCCAGAAAAATGTAAATAAGACACTACCCTCAGAGTAGTTACAGTCTAGTCCATATGTGGTTTTGTAAACACACACACACACATATATAATAAAATATAATAGGAACATTATGATAGGAAAGTATTTTTGGTACTTGTGGACCCCAAAGCGGGAGGATTCTGTTTAACCTTTGAGTGAAATAGTATGGGCAGGGGTGAATCTTGAAAATGTTTATGGAAGAGATTTTATTTGTGCCGAATCCAAAACACTGAGTAGGTTTGCATGAATCAGACAGGGAAAGGAAGCGTATTCTAGACAGAGAAAGCAGCGTGATTAAGGGCACAGAACCTCAAAGCATGCTGGTGGTCTGAGAATTGCAGGAATTTGTCATGGCTGAAATGAAATATGAGTGAAGGAGAACAATGAGGATTAACAATAGTGAATGGTCAGGGGTTATCAGTGGCGTGCTGGAGCTGGCGTGTGTCTGATTCACGAGAGCCTTTTATTAAATTGCCAGTAATTTTGCCAGCTGGTTGTTAAATCGTTGGTAGCTTTAAGTCCACAGTGGTGGAAATATTTACACCATGGAAATTAGCAAATGTTACATATCAGGGCTTTTTTTCTCCCTAAAGAGTTGCTTTACCAGCACTCTACTGATTGCACTACCCTTGTATATGCCTCCCCAATAATTATTCTTTAGCATCCCCCAGTGTAGGCAAGGGGGAGCCAGTGCAGGATGGCTAGCAGGAGAGCAATATGATCAGACTTGTAATTTACTAAGATAACTCTGTGTCTTTGGCCCTGCCTCTCAGGAAACAGACCCAGTGAGAGAGATTTGCATGAAGGAGGTTTACTGGGGCGTGTTCTTGGGTCTAGCTTTTGAGAGGGAGCTAGTGAAACAGGATTGGGCAGAAGGAGGAGTTGAATGATGATGCAGCTGTAAGGCGGGTCCCACAGGGATGCTTTGGAGCTGGAATGGTTTATCAGAGTAGTCCCACCCAGAGGCACAGGGGTCAGGCATTTAAACACCTGCAGTCACTGGATGGAGGCTGACCCTGTGGAAGGGTACATAACCATCTCGAAGTGGCTCTCTTCAGCTGAGGTCACTCCCTGGAGAAGGCTCAGCAGGGGAGGGAGTGCCTCAGGCCTGGAGGTGATGCTGGGTGTTGCACCCCAGCATCCACATCACTTTGGTGGCAGTCTGGAGGATATATGAGCTCCCTGGGAGGTACGTAGCAAGGACACGGGTTGAGAGAGTGGTATGGTAGTCCAGGTTAAAGATGATGGAGGGGCCAGACTGAAGATGAGTGGTTTAGTTCGCACGCTCCGCTTTGGCGTCCTGGGGTTCACTGGTTTGGATCCCAGGTGTGGACCTATGCACTGCTCATCAAAGCTATGTTGTGGTGGCATCCCACATAGAGGAACTAGAATGACCTACAACTAGGATACACAACTATGTACTGGGGCTTTGGGGAGAGAGAAAAGAAAAAAAAAAAGAGGAAGATTGGCAACAGATGTTAGCTCAGGGCCAATCTTCCTCACACACACACACACACAAAAGACAGTGAAGGCTTAAACTAACCTAGCAGCAATAGGGATGGAGGAGGTCAGAGGGCGGGATAGGGCAACAAGTGGGAAGGGAGACTAGTTCCCCTAATGTGGTGGTTCTCAACTGAGGGCTGGTGCTGCCCCAGGGTACATTTGGCAATGTGCAGAAACATTTTTAGTTGTCATAACTTTGAAGCGTTGTGTGTCTTGTGTGTACTACTGGCATCTAGAGGGTAGAGGTCAGGGATGCTGCCAAACATGCTATAATGCACAGGACAGCCCTCCATATCATGGAAGTATCAGGCTCCAAATATCAGGAGCACCGAGATTGATATGATGTTAGCAGGCCATTATGTTAGGAGTAAAGTAAGGGAAATGTGTGACACCTTCCTTCTCTGTTCCTGCCCTGGGGGTCTGAGTATTGAG